TTTTTATCCTTAAGAGATGATAATTGCGCGAAAAGGTGAAACAACCGCAAGCCTATTAATTCATAATTTCGCTATTCTTACGAATCACTAGTGGTTATTTCTTAAACAATTTTTTTACTATTTGGTTATAATCCCTTTTGAAGTTATGATTCGGTGAATATTGAAAGTATTTTGCAAATGAATATACACAGATAAATGAATTTTATGGGAAGCTGTTTTGTCACTGTCAAAAATGCCTCACTGCCACTGGTGGGCAATTCACATACCGGAATAATTAATTATTACTTCAAAGTGAGCATTGTCCTTCACTTTAAGTTTGCGTCTGGCAACTGTCACCTATAGATAGTACACGCATTGTCCCCATACCTTGTAAATAGTGGCTTTAAATTTATTTTGGAATTTCTATTTTTAGGCTTTTGAAGATCGGAATGGCTTATTTTTCGATTATTCACTTGACGAATAGGAAAATAGTAAATCAACCTTAATTTTGCTTGTTTTTCTAATAGTGGTGTGGAATATGCAGAATAATTGAAAGAAAGTGGCTTAAAAAAGCCAGAAATAAAGAAATTTAGCAATAACATAAGTACCTTAAAACTTTACTCTTTTTTAAAAAAGTAATTAATGTACTTTCTCTATGTGGATGGGATTTAGTCTAACTATAAGCTAAAGGGAAGTAATCATTTGCTAAACCACCCGAAATACTTTATTTACATCGTAACCCTGTCAAGAGAGTTGAATTATAAGGTGGCAAAAATCAGTAAGTGAGGATAAGGAGTGATAATTTATCGAACGGCATGTCCGAAATTTGATTTCAAATATATATTAGGTAGAGTGGGTAGAGTAGTGAGAAGAAATCGATTTCCTTATCGGAAGCAGACCACGACACATTCAATGGTATCAAGCAATATTCCAAACTCAGATATCTGTCAACTCATACTATTAAATCTTCTTTAATTTTCTATAATAAACTTACTTATTCTCTATATCCCGAATTTCCAAAGAAATTGATTACTAAGAGCATAGTAAGTCAGTAGCCATTATTGTGATTACTTGTCAGAGTATTCGAACAGCTGTCAGAGTTTTGAATCTCGTATTCAGCCTTTCCACTTAGTAGCAATCTGCTACAGCTCAAATTGCTATAAAAGAGCAGTCGGACAAAAGAAACTATTAATGCATTTTGTAACTCGTGTCCCTTAATGGAGCCATTACCCAAACTGTGAAAATTCATACGGTCTGCGGGCTTATCGCATCACACCCTTTCGAGTGTCTGTTAAGGAATGAAAGCCACACAAGAACTGGGTTTATACGTTTGCAACGAATTATATATGCGAGGAAACAGAATGATAAGTAACATTAGGGCATTTAGATGGTGCCTAAAATAAACATCTTTTTAACTAATGACAAAGCACCATACAAATACGGGGGGTGGGGTGGTGGTGGGGGAGGGGGGGGGGTCTGGGTTGAATATGAGCAGAGAGACTGGTCTTTGTTGTCCATATTCACATAAGATTTTAAACGTGATTAAGATTTTTTTAATGATATTGCAATGGATAGAGTAGATGCAATCTTCCTGAAATAAATAGTATATTAATATAAAAAACTAAATAGACAGAACTATTCTTTAGACACCGATGCAATACGCTCATTCAGTTGTGTGGGATTAATTTGGGAAAAAAGGCAGTAAGTATTTCGTTAAAACCATTGCCTCCAATAGCCCACGGAACACTGTGATTAGCAAAATCAATAAGTGGGCTACGAGAACCATTAACTTGAGGCAGTTCAATAAAGACGCAATTAGCGTGTCCACGCAATGTCAACTTACAAGGAAACAAGTACAAATTAGGGTAAATAGATGTCAATTTCACTTTAAATACGAAAAATGCTTTTTTCCCAGTTTTGTTTATCTTCATTTTTGTTATCATAAGTTAACTGGCGTGGGGAGGGGGGGGGGGGGGGTAAGGATTTTGTAAACTTATTAGCATAAATGCACTCTTTTTACTCAATTATCTTGTGAGTCCCATTCACTCTTACAAGTGACTTTCCTTCAGCTGACAAGAGAGAGAGAGAGGAGTGTGATTCTGATGGAAATCAGACTTTTACACACACACACACACTCACTACCTCTCAGTCTGCACTTTTCCCTTTGTCAACAGAGTATATAAAGGCCTAGTTTACAATCACTTAGGCAAAGAATCTTATTTATCTTTCTAAAATAAGTTCTCAAACAACCAATAAGCAATGTACGCTGTTAACCAAGTTGCCGATTACGCTACGAAGGGCGCAAGTGAGTCGAACAGCATTGAAACACTTTTAGGCCCTTTTCACCTGGACATTTAATTATGTTTCTCATCACAATTAGGTAATGCTGTAAGTGGAGTTGCGAATACTGGGAGTCGAGCTGCCAACGAAGGTGTCAACGCTACGAGTGAGTTAAGATTTGCTTACATCTACCCATTTCACCATTGACAATGATCAAATGACTCCTTTGTGCTAGCTGGAGGTGTTGAAAATGTTAGTCGAGGAGCGAGGAATACTCTTTACAATGCGCGTAAGCCTTTTGTTTTAACTAACTTCAGTGATGCGTAACTTAAATTATAACTGACCTTCATTGCTTGTTTTCTGAAAATGAAGCTGATCGAGTCGGAAATATACCGGAAAACAACTACAACCCAAGGGGACGTAGTAGGCCATTTGAAAATGGTGACAGTAAGTAAACCAAGACCACATAGTTGGTTTTAGAAGACTCCATACTAAAGATATATTCTCAATTCCCTCTTTTTAGATGGCAGGTTATCTGGTGATTATGCTCCTCCAAGGTACTCCGAAGTCCCAGAGCGCGATTATTCTGATAGAAGGCCGAGCAATTCGTTCAACAATCGAGGTATGCTTCTTTTTTGGTTACAATTGTTTCTACACTCGTGTTCTTTAATCCTAGCAAAAAATATTAAATTTCCTATTTAGATGACAGACAGGAAAACTATGAATACAGAAACCAAAATGATTATTGTGAGTTTTGGCACAACAATTGTTTAAATCGCTCAGTTTTGAAATGGAAATGAATCACAGCAGAATTTAAATTAATTTCCTTATTTCAGGTCCAGATCCCCGAGGTCGAGAAGGAGGTACAGGCTCCGGGCGTGGCAATAGACTATCAACAAACTAAATTTAATTTATTTACACAATATTTTTAATTTTCAGATTTTAATTCTGGTAGATATGGTGGTGGAAGGAGATACGGAGAGAATGGAAGTAAGTTCAAACTTGAAACATTTTATCTGTGCTATTGTTAAATTGCCTGTGGGAAGACGGAGATTTCTACTGTAAATACGATTCCATAAATGGAGTTATTTTCTCCTATTAGGTCCACAAAATAGACCCTCAAGGCGTCGACAGCTCTATCCAGAACTTCCAAAAGATGAATTCGAATTCTCCGAAAATTGTGATGACGGATGGGAGGGCGGTAGACAAAACGGTGAGCGTTTACTCTCCATATGTTGCCCCAATTTTTTGCAACATATTATGCATAATATATATTATTATATTTATCTATATATGTGTGTATATGAATTTAGCCTCTGCCACTCAAAATGAGAAAATGAATCGACTGATTGAGCTCATAAACCAAATGCCCAGTAGGCCTTCAATTAGCTCACAAATCCTAATTGACTAATCGACTAATTATACCAAAAAATTAGAAAGATAGTATCTGTGCCTCGCATCCTTTAATGTGCAATATTGTGCCTTTAGTTTGGGGTCAATCGACTGTGGGTAATATCTAGCCGCCTCTTTGTTATTAGGTCGAAGAGAAAGAAGACGAGAGGATGAAATGCCAATGCAATCACAAAGGGGTCGCGAGCGTGGAGAATGTCTGGATCCAAGATGGGGGATGGATCACAATAGGGAGTCAACAGAAACCCAATCGTCGGACAGTTTACATATGAAAAGTTAGAAATCACTTACAGTACACATTTTCCCTTGTGGGCATTTAATAATCTTTCATGGCTCACTTTTTCACCAGGAGGAATGAATGATAGGTATAGAAAAAAAATCAACTGGCCAAAAATCGGGAAGAAGAAGCCTCAAGTTGAGTGCCAAGAAGGTAGACATTAAAATTTTTATATAAGTCGATTCCACGTTAACAGAATTCACTTCGTATTTTTCTTCTCAGTTCCGCCTAAGAAGGAAAGTTGTGTTGAATGCGAGATGGTTCCATGCATGGTACCAAGATCGAGATGCAATTGTTGTTCAGGTCGTCCCTGCGGTGATACCTCGAAATGCAGCTGTTGTGCTAGGGGTAAGTTTAAGCCGATACTGAGCAAAAGGACTATGTGAGACAGCTTAACAATCTACCGAAAGCCTGAAAATGCAGACTAATTAACTTTTCAGCAATTTAATCAACTTTCATAAGATTTTTACCTTATTCCTCATCATAGCACATCAAGACTCTGGGTAGCATGCTTTCAAAATGCTCTACTTTAACAGAGCGCTTGTGACAGGAGTCTTTCTTATTCCTGCTTGCATTTCCGTGATGGGCTGATCACCAGTTTTCTCTCATCTCGTATGGGTTTGCCAAAAAACCGATGACACCTTTCTTCAGTTCAAACGATTTTCCTTTTCCTAACGTGCTCAGTTTTTGGTGGTGTTCTAATCATCGCCTATGGGTCACCTTCTAATCTTCTGTCTCCAAACTCCACTCATATTCACACCCAACACTTGTTTCACATCGAAAATGATCTATCCAGGTCGCATCCTTGCAGGAGAAGCTGTAACTTATTCCATTTCTGCAATTGCGAATTCACTGAAGGTCTAGAGGTTGCATCACAGTTGTTTAGTACATACTAGCTCAAGACAACTTTTTCTTCTAGCAAGTTTGTCAACCTCTTTTCGTCTGCTGTCAGAGGGGGGGGGGGGTTGAGGGGCATGATCATCCGATTAGCCGGGTTCTGATCAGCATTTAATCTGCTATCATACCACTCCTGTGGCAGATGATTGTGAAACCAAAAATGGTTCCGATGAGCGCTTCCAACGGATTTGCTCGAGTTTTGAGCAGAAGCACTTTCGATTTGAAATTTGGCATGAGCCTCATCGGCTGTCTTTTGATCAGCATGATATTGAGTTTAATAATATTAGCAGATAAGTATTTCTTTAGCATTTGCAGAAGAGCCAGCATCTGCATAGGAAATCATATAATAACTCATACCTTCAGTTAGCTCATGGACCTAACTGTTCCAGATCTGAATCTACTTACACCCAGGCTGCTTAATCACACGACTTATTTATTCGATGCAATAATTGTACCACATCAAGAACTTTTTTGCCGTATTATTGATTATTTAATTTTACATATTGTAGGTCCCTCTCAGCCTAGTAAGTTTTTGACTGGGGAAGCTAGCTCTATGTAAAAAAAACACTTAGCTTCCACTAATTTCAATAAAATTAAAACTCTTTTTAGAAGGTGAATGTTGTCTTAAGACCTTCTGCAAAAAGAAATGCTGTGGTGAGTGTCACATTCCCTCAATATTGTCGGACAAATTAATTTTATAAACGTTATAACGTCCATAATTTGTCATAATTTAAGTTCCGAAATGTGTGATGGTACCATGTGAAGGTAATGTCCCAATAGTATATATATATATAGTTACATATTTGATATTTTAATTGAAATAGTAAAACAAATCTTTAAATTGTAGAGCTTAAATGCTGTGGAGGTGGGAATGATCCAAGTAAGATTCGATTTATTTTTCAATTTTTAAGAGCTTGACAAGGGTTCAATAATTTAATTAAAAAAAATAGAATTTATCTTACTGTTACGGTCAACGAGTTGATGCCACAACCAAGAAGAAGGTTGGCATAAGTTCCCGTTGTTGAAATAAAAATTGAATATCATTCGCATTGAATTATGAAGAGTAAAAATCACGAGCATTATCTATAAATTAATGGTTATCAAAGTAATAGTGGAAAGAAGGAGTTTAAAAAGTCTACCTGTATTTCTTTGAGACAAAATCACCTAATATTTAAATTGCATCATGACAATTCAATTTTAAACTTATATTCTTTTTGTTAATTGTGAAAACAATAAGTCGCTGTATTATTGAAGTTAATTGATTTTTTGCCTTTCCTCAGTGTTGAATGGCAGCTGTGATTACGACGATCGTTTCGATAGTAGCTGCGATAGTGATGTAAGAGGTGGATACGACCGTCAGCGATGTTACAGTGGAGATTATGACTATGATCGGAAAAATAGATGCCATGAACGGGATTCAAGCTCTTGCTGTAAATCTAGAAGACGTTGCTGTAGTGGCAGCGGCGATAGAAGACCTGAGAACTGTTACAATGGAGATTTCAATGGCGGGGAATTTCAATGGAGACGTGGCAGCTCCTACGGAAGAATGAATGGTGGAGTTAGAAATTCCATTAACAGGGACCCTGACTCGAGCTCGAACAACGATTTTAACAATGGCACATCCCGTGGAATGAATAATGAAATGGATAGAGACAGAAATATGTCTGGCGGTCGCAACGTGTTCGACTCCAACAGCCTAAATGCTCTAAATAATATTTCTACCAGTCTGAACGCTATTAATGAGGCTCTTGGTGGCCTCGCTGGAAATATTGGCAATATGAATACTAATACAGGAATTGGAGGCAATATGGGATTGAATAATGATTTGAATCTTTCAATGAATATGCCCAGCTCTATGAACATGGATGTCGGTCTGGGAAGTGGAATAAACCTCGGGATGAACGAAGGCCTTGGCGTTGGTCAGCCAATCTCAGCTGTCTCTGATTTGGGCGGAATGGGATTAGGTTATCAAGAACCTAGAGTAGGAGGGTATTATGAAAGTATGGCGGATTTGATAAAGCCTGTTGCTCAATATCCAAGTACCCAAATAACTCCCTACAGCTATAATCGACCGAGCTCTGTTCCACCGTATTACAGTGGTGAAACGATTGGCACAGGTTTGGACAGCACGTATGTCAGCACTGGAGACTATGGTGCCTCATACGTTGACCGTAAGTTGAATTCATAATGATAGGCTTTTTCTACTTTTCTAAATAATCACCCTAGGGGTTGTGATTTGTTTCTTCTTTGTTAGCGAGCATGGAAGAGTACAATCGAAAGGTGAAAGAGGCTAAAAGGAAAGCGGAGCTAAAACGACAAGAGTTGATTCGAAAACGTGATGAAGATGTCGCCAGAAAACGCGCCGAAATGGAGAAGAAAATTGAAGAGGAGTACTGCAGAAGAAAGGAAGAGGCTAAGTGTCAACGCGAGGCTGAAATAAAGGCTAAAATATCAGGTAACTTTCGTATTGCTCATTTTTAAACTCCCACGATTTGAACTTGCTATGGTGAGGGTCTAAAAATTGTCATTCTATTCGCAGAGGCTCAAAGTGAACGCAAGAAAAAAGAACAGGAGCTTATGCAAACGTTCAGTGAGTTCAATTGCAAACACTCTCCTTCTAATTTGAACGGTTATATTGTCTGGTATTTTGCTCATATAGCTCAAAAACTGAAAGCCGTTAGAGACGCTGAGGCAGAAAGACGCAGGAGATATGAGATTCGTGGGTTTATTGAAAGAAGGCTTAAATGTGGTGTGTGTAACGATTGACTGCACTACTTTTCATCCTGTCATTTTTTTCCTCTCCAGAGCTTGCTGAAGCGAATCAAAGAGGTCACATGCTGAAGCATCAGCTTGGTAAGTTCGCTCTCACTATTCAGTAGACACTATTTGGACGAAACTTTACTCTATCCTTTGAATACTAGCAATGGCACAACGTCAGATGCAGGAACTTGAAGCTTATAAAGCTCAAATTCAACATCAAGGTATCGTTCTTGTTTTAATCTAGGGAAAGTACAACCGCCTTCGGTTTTATATCATTACTATTCCCAATTTCAGAGGCTGTACGTAAAAGCCAGTTGGATCATCTAAGTAAATATTAAAAAATTGCTTAATTTATACCTAAATTTATGTTAGTGCTAAGCAAACATTCACTCCACTCTCCTTAGCTC